AGAACTGCTGACGTGGAATGTCACGGTGGCTTTCCCGAAATGATCCCCTTCTAACATCTCCTTCTCCCCCATCACAATTTTACCAAGTTTCACGCCACTGCTTAATTTAAGATCATTTTGCGGGGAACGCTTAGCCTGAGCTCTACGGTTTCAGCCAGTAAGGAAATTCCATCTCGGTTCGGACAGATCAGATATCTTCGCTTGACCCAAATCCCCCTGTGCTTGCTTTCACACCATTCTTAAGGAATATCTCAGATCTGCCTGGACAGAGCCTCAGGACTTATTTTCCAGCTTTGTGATGCCGAAGTTAAAACAGTTGCACGTTATTTTCTCCTAGTTTGGGAATACTCACACACCCCAAAACAGTCTTCCCAGCCATCCCCCTTGGGTTGGACTTCTTGCAGTTCCTACGTAGCCCATCTGGAAGATTGCCGTAATCGGTAGAGCCACAGACTTAGATCGGCAAGCCTAAGACTAAGCCATTTACTCACCGTTGGTTGGATAAACTACAGTTGGCTATGGTTTAGGCGACCCATGAAGCTAAAGCAAAAGGCATGACAACTGAGCACGGTGCATGAATTCATGCCTGGCTTTTAACCCAGCAGAATCTACTTCTGAGTAAACATGCGGGAGCAAGCCATGAGCCTGCAACTGGACCCAATTTCCAGGAAGGAAATCCTTCTGGATTGTTCTGGGGTTTACAGCAGAGGAAGGAGGCTCAGATGAGGCTTGAAAGACCTTCAGCATTAATTAGCATCTCGCATGAGTAGAAGTGCGATCCCCTCGTTCATCAAACTGGCCCTCCTCCACCTTGCGGTCATTCTCCTTCATCCAAGCCCCTGCAGACATCTCGCTCCTTCAAAGGGGACACTCGACAAAGCTGAACAGACTTAACCTACCTTGAGGCTGCCCTTGGATGGGGTCAGAAGGGGGGGAAAAGATCACTCTCGGACCAGTTCAGCTAAAGATGGCTTCATAAAAGGGCTTTAACATAAAAGTGAACGAACGATAGCAACGCAAAGTTCATCTATCATTATAAGAGTACACAGTTCCAATTCTATATCTGCTTATCTCACGCGAATATGATTCAGATACATGTATATTTCTCATGGAGTTAGACAACTCTCCTGCACGTTTAGGCTTTTTTTCTTCTTTTTTCGGAATTAAAAAAAATGAATTAAACAAAAAACTAAAGATGGTTTCAAACTGCTCCCCCACTGACTGGGGACAAGACGAAGAGCAAGGTCGCAGGGATGGGCCGAAAGGAGGCGGCCAGCGGTGCATGGTTATGCCGGGCTCGGGGATGTGGGAAAAAGCCCTGGGTTGGGACAACCCCGCAGGGTCTTTGCTGAAAGTCCAGGCCTATCCGAGCAAGCCTAAATCGTCTTAGAGCGGCCTGCGGAGATCTGGTGGAGCTATAAGGTTACCGGCTTGCCGACACGTTGCAAGCTGACGTGCAGTTTTACGCATGGTGCTAGATTAGGGCTATATTTAACAAAAAAGCTGCAATTCGGGGGGGCGGGTGGCTTCCCCCATGAGAGTAAGAAGGGGATTGAGAGAGTCAAAGTCCATTTTTTTGATCGGGGCATCTAAGGTAATGTCATGAAACCTCAGTGGTTTTTCTGCTTGATTGTTTGGAGATATTCCTTAAATATCCTATCCTGTCCTTTCCCATCCCATCTTCTATCTCATACCTCATATTTTATATCTTATATACCTTATATCTAGCTTATACCTTATCCATTATAGCCGATATCTTCTATCTTATCATCTTGTCTTGTCATCTCATCTTACCTTGTCACCTTATCTCTTTATTTTATCTTAAAAGCCCAGGTTGGATGACGCTATTGGACACCGTCCAACTGCAGGTGAATTTCAGCAGCTTTTCATGGCATTCCCAGAGGCTGTAAAAATAAGCTGGAGGGGAAGTTATTGGTTGGGGGGGGGGTCGCACGTGTCTAATAAACTGTGAGTTGATCCCCTCTGCTTTGAATCAGCGGTGTGCACCCCAGCTTGGGCCGTCAGAGACCACATGCTTTTAGACTTCTGTGCCGGTGGCTCAAATTCCAGGGGCCAAAAGTCCTTTGGCCATCTCTGGAGGAAGACCTAAATATGTCATAGCGCTTGGGGCTCCCGAGTCAAGGTAGGTTTCCTTCACGCATGATGTTCCTAAAATAGAAGTTGTTTTGGCAACTCCTTGCAATGTCCTTTCTGCCCCAACTCAAACATAAGATGGGGTTTCCTCCGGGGACAAATATGGTATACGGCCTTCATCATCTTCCCAGGACCAAGCCAGGGAAATTCCATCTCTTCTTGCAGGAGATTCTTCTCGCTGGAAGGGAGCATCGTAATTTCCTGGGAGACTAGAACTTTTTGAATTCCAGGCACCAACTTTCATGGCTACCTCCTGTAGTCGTGGTATTATTTCCGGCAAGGCAAGAAATGGTCTTTTCTTCTGTTGGGACCAGCGCAAGAACGTCAGTGGATTAAATAGGAGCAAATGGGCCATTTTCTTGGTTCTCAGAGACACAGACACTATCTATCTATCTATCTATCTATCTATCTATCTATCTATCTATCTATCTATCTATCTATCTAT